CCCGATCGCCCCAGCCCTGGAACACATGCCTTTCTTATAGATGATAGCCATTCTCAGTGCATAGCTTGAAAGAGCTTAGTTTCAAAGAAGTGACTCTCAACATTGGGATGGTAATAAACCAGGTACCTGTCCCTGATGTGCTTCATAATTACTTGCTGATTCCCTACCCAAGGCCTGCAGCGAAGTCGGAGCTACAGAGGAGTGTGGCAGGCCAGCCTCTCCTCTCTTGCTGATTTTGGCAAAGGCCACAGCAGGTCACTAACCAGCAGCCCGACAACTCCTCAAACCCCCACGCAGGTCTTTTTTAAGCGTCCTGGCTGGCACCACCGAGACTCTGCTGGACCATCTCCATGTTATCACAGCTAACCTCCAGTAACCACAGGGTTTTATCACCCGCCCACAAGAACACCAGGCCAAACTGGTTGAGCCCCTGCTCATTTCCAGGTTTATTCTAGGGCAAGAAAACGGCTAGGTGTTAAGGGTCATTCAGGAACTGCCTGCATTTTTGTCGTCACAGGCAGCGTGTGTGCAGACAAACAGGTACTTTCACACAGTGCTTCCTCTGTACCGTACTATTTCTGAGGCCCCTTCCTCTCTCTTTGTCTGCCCTTCTCTACAATCCTGGGCTGCTTCAGTGCTACTTTCCTACACCTCCCCATGTTGAAGTGTCAACAGGTGTTCTGGTGGCTAAAAGAGTCCGTGGGGTCAGAGCACCAAACCCAAGGACCTGCCGCAACCCTGGCCAGATGGTCATGTGATGATGACAAACAGCAAGCCTACTGGATGGCCAAACAGAGCTCCGCCGAGACAGGAAGAAAGCCAGGCCAGAGCGGAGGCCAGGTTGAGATGCTTAAGAATCATGCCCCCCCCCTCCCCCAGTGCTACCAGCAGTTACTTCCTCTGCAGAAGGGCTGGGACTTTATTATATACATATTACGAAGTAATACAACTTTGCAGCTAAAGGCAAAACTCACACCTCTGAGTATTTCAAAGCTATTACTTTGGGCAACCTTTGATTCCAGAAATATCTTGGCATTGCCTTCCTCACTCATGACAAATTCTTTTGACTATAATTAGTGGTGGCAAATACCAATTATTTGAGAGTGGGTATCATTTTCAGAAACAGCCAGGTCACTCAGAACTAAGAATCATAAGGTGAGGGAATCAATACTATTTTGGTATAAAAACCAAGATGCTGGTTATAGAACAAGTTGGAGTTTCCTATGCAGACCCAAAAAACAACTTGAAAAGGTAATTTTAAAAGTGATCTGAATAATGGCAATGTAGGTGTCAAATAAGGTATATGCTACCAAGGTGACAACCTGGAAGAGGTCATTGATGTGGACGCATAGCCGGCTCTCCATACCCACGGGTTTCCTCTTCACCGTCAACCACGGGTTGGAAACAGTATTTTCGATCTGCAGTTGGGAATCTGGGTGCAGAGGGCCAACTGTATACATCACTCGATGCCATTTTGCGTAAGGGACTTGAGCATAGTGGATTTTGGTATCCATGGGGAGGGGGTACCTGGAACCAACCTGCTGGTAACGAGGGATGACATTCTGGAGTCTCACTATTTCTCACAATCATTAGAAAAAAGGTTACAGAAAACAGACAGACCTAGCATAAACCTTATTTCTGAGTCTCAGGCAGAAACTTTAAAAATTCAAATGAATTCTTAGCTTCAGTTAACTGGTCTCCACGTCGAGGAGGAGCTAAAAGGTAGTGACACCCCTTCCCTAAGACTCTCCAGTCTATTAACAATGTCTACTGATGCGCAGCCTAACTAAGTCATATTGCACCTGGGGGTCTCCTCCTCTCCCGAGTCCTTAATCTGGCAGACAGACACACTGACCTGGACACACGTCTATCCTATTAATAACAGCCCTACTGAGACAACCCTTACTACTACCTACTTTGCACTTTCTTAGCATGATACACATTTATATCAATGCAATACTTTTGCTATTTTTGCTTTATTCATATTACTGCTTCTATTCCTATCTTCCGCAGGAGCGCTGAGCCAGAAGGATGCTGCCGAGACCAAGCAGCGCGCGGGGGCTGAGGCCCCGCGTCGGGCTTCAGCTGCCTGACCGCAGACCCGCCACCCGAGCGGCCCCCGCGGGACACGAGGAAGCCGGACGCGGGAGCCCAACGCCCAG